TAGCGTTACATGGAGGAAGACCACGAGAACCTCCCACAGTTATCCTGACGACAAGGGGACTATAACCCATGATCAGTTTACCACTGAGGATATTTCACGTCAGCACTGTGGTCGGTGAAAGCCGGATGTGGAATTCGTATCGACCAGCCATCGACGGGATCGAACCCCGGTTCACCTCACTGGAAGACGAACGCTCTATCCCCTGAACCATTGCTGCTCAATTTGCCTCCATTGCATGTCTAAGTACAAAACACGAATCTACCAGGAAAGAAAGCTCATCTCAACTAAAACACTGCGCCTTTCTCTCTCCGCCAAATCGCCGACAAAAAGGGAGTACGTGTCAAAGGGGATTCTGATGTTTGGGAACAAGAGATATAGGGAAATGTAACAACTGACTTGCTCTACTTGTATTACAGCTCTACGATTAGTTCCTATTACCAAAATAAATTAAGCACCATTGACGCCCATAATAGCATTGTGAATTTTTATGCTTTTCCTAAACGAAATAGTGTCATTTCTCCAGTAATTTTGCTTCTTTGCACACGCCTTATTTTTTTCTATTTCAATAAGTACCTATTACCAAAATTAATAAAGCATCGCTGGCCTCAATAAAAATTTAGCAAATTTTGATGTTTTTCCTTAACGAATTAATAACGTTAATTCGTTTATGTTATTATTCGTAGAATGAGCGTACCATTATATTGCTTACAAGAAATAATTCAAAATAATAAACCCATTAGGGGTTGCAAGTTAAATAGTGGTTCAGAAACACGCGAAAAAACAGTTCATAATAGGAAAGCGCCCCTAGCGGCGTATGACATTTCAGGGCAAAGGTTCTGTAGAAATTTTCATCCTGATGATGAGCCCCAACTCCCTTAGAAGTTTTTTCAACATTTAAACGACCCCGTTATACGTAACGTTTTTAAACTTCTACACTTCGAAAAAAAAAGACTAAAAATATAATTTTTAAAAATAAAAAAAAAACTGTATTTTGGGGAGTGAAATCAATTGCAGATTTGAAATCTGCAATTGATGAGATTATGAGTGAGATTTTTTAATAGATCTTAGATAAAAAAGTATTTAAGATCTATTAAAAAATCTCACAAAACAGAAGAAAAAAATGCTCTCCACTGTTATCTACTTTCATTCCCATTTCTAATTTGTCAATTAAGTTAAAAATCAGTTAAGTTTTATATTATAAAGGTATAAAATTTAAAAAAAATCGACAAAAATTTATAATTTAAAAAAAAATTATAAATTATAAAGAATAGAAGATAATGCAATAAAGACACACTCAATAAAAAGTAAATTGTTTTATTTACTCTTTTAAGACAGAAATAAATTACATAAATTTAACAAAACCGTATAGTCTCAATCGAGTAGTTCAGTTACAAAGCCTGCTAAATGTTCTTCCAGTTGTGCATAATTGTATCAGATTTTTGAGAACATTCAATATGAAAATAGACTTCTTAAATTTTCAGCAGTTTTTTTTAAATTTATTTTTAATTGTATAAAAGAAATAATTAATGTGACCTTTTATTTAAAAAAGAAAAATTCTCACATCCTGTCTAAGAAGTGAGTAAGCAAGTTTAGCATTTGAGCTACTCAATTATTTTAATGGAGAAACTAAGCATGTAGTACCAGAACCAAATCAACAAACAAATAAATCCCCAAACTTTAGGAGACCAAATAGAGATCCTGAGTATCGCTTAATAGGAACAACATAAATTAAAATACCTCATATAAATAAAAAACAGAAACATTGTGCTTAGATTTCTAAAAACATAAACACACAAATTATTAGGAAAATTTTAAACCATATATGTTTTTGCAAGACACATAAAATAATTTAGTCAGCACAAACTTAGTTCTTGTAAATGTGCAGAATGTGTAGAAAAACTTTTACACAGTAAAAAAATATTTTATAATAAATTTTGAACAAAGCTCACTAAAAAGATGTTCTGTAATGATTACCCCTAATATATAATCTTAGAATTCTTACATATGCAAAATTAAATATTATACACAGTAGAGATTGAAAATTGATATTTAAGCATGAGAAATTTAAAATCAATCATTATTTCAGTCAATCGAAGTAAAATAGGTATAAGATTACCCCTAATATATAATTTTAGGTTTCTTATATAAGCAAAGTTAAAAATTACACATAGTAGAGGTTGAAAATTGATATTTAAGTATAAGAAAAACTAAAACCAATCATTATTTAAGTCGATTAAAGTAAAATAAGCATTAGAATCATAAAAAGCCACTTTGACAAGTGAAAACTATATTTTACCTTTCATGATAAAACATTTTACCTTTCTTTTCAAATAAACTGATAAAAAAATAAGATCAGAAAAATAGCAAAAAAAATTGTGTATATTTCAATATCATAATAAAATTTATAAAACTTTTTTTTTTTAAAAATTATAATACAGAACTCCTATTAACAGCTATAAATAGGACAGTCAAAATTCTGAAAATAGTTTCAGAGAAGTAAAAAGAACACCGAAATTTAAATGGAAAATTACGGCTTTTTGATTACCCCTTTCTGATGCAAGAAATTTTGGACAGAAACTGTCAGGATCACATTGACATCTGCGTAGATGGTATAATTTTAGTGACGGGATATACTTCAATACTGTTTTGTTCAAAGTATAGCGTTTGCTTAAAGAAAAAAAGTGAACATTTATAAACCAAGAGTTTTACATTTTTAAAGGTTAATAATATTTTTGGAATAAGTTGCTCCACATCAGGTACATTGCACCAAAAAAAGTTAATAAAATGAAACAGTATAAAAAATGTAATTAACTCCACACAATTTGTAATCGTAAAATAAAAAATGGCTAATATTAATGGTGACTTAAATTTTTTTCTTTTAAGACTTCTTGTCTGCTATTAAGAAAAAAATTAATCTTTTAAAAAATAATTTATAACAATAATTTTTTTAATAATAATAATAAAACAAAATAAAAGTATGTGGTGTAAGAACCTGAGGGAAAAAAAGCACTAACTCATTTTTCTAATGGCACCCTCACCTCTTTCTGCTCTTAATCACATCAATAGGAAAAATTAATTTAAAAAAAAAGCAGAACAGAAAAACAATTTGTCAATTAGTAGAACTCCACTACTACTAATGGACAATTATGGCTTAAACAAATCATATGAAAAGAATATTGCCGCTGATTCATTTGTCTACTGATACCTGATTAGTTTAGCTTTTTAAAATATACCATAGAGCCTTGATAATCCACATAATTAAATGCCAAGGGCACCGCGGATAACAAAAATTGTAGATAATCCAAAAAACCTCACAAACATGGAAGCAAGAAAAATACTTCTAAAATGTATTCATGCATGTAAATATAATTTAAACATACAACAAAAATCTTTGTTCTAGGTCTAAATCACTGAAACAAGAAATGGTAAAGAAAAAAAAAGTGCATACATAGTTCATAAGTGTTCAAAAATTTAGAGAGAAAAGTGTTCAGTTGCACTTTTTTTTAAAAAAAAAAAATTGGTCACTCATTTTTGGTTTGGAAGCACGTTTTCTTCATTTGAAATAATACTTTTCATACCATGAACAATGATTCATTACGTGCAATATAAGATAGACCGATTTACCGCAAAACTCTCAGATAATTGTGGCTCTACTGTTCTTGATATGTTCATACAGATTGTATAAAGTAGTAAGTCTATTATTGGATCCGAAGTTTTTTTTTTCTCTTATCTTAATTTTTACAAGGTAGTAATATATTAAATACACTTAAGTTAGTAGACGGACACTATTGTACGCAAACGGAAAAGGAAACACTCAATATTTATTTACAAGAAATGTGCAACAAAAAAGAATATAATAAATAATTTGATTTAAAAAACAAATAATTGAAAAAATCATAATTTCTCTATGATAAACAAAAATATTAGCTACGTTATAAAAATAATTTTGATAATCAATAATGTTATTTAACTAAAAGAAATTAAACAAATGAGTTTCTTGAATTACAAAATTTATTACTAATAAAAACATAATGTTGTAACAGGGTGCATAGCTAGATTTTTCAACAAAAAATAAGCGTCTTTTAAGTACTTTTAAGCACTTAAAAAATATTTTTAATCACTTTCCAAAAAATTCATAATTAGGATCTCTGCAGTAATAAAAATTATTTTTTTCTATCATTTAAAGTTATTAATTTATGAACAAATCAATAAAATTCAAAAACATTTTTAAAAACCTTACATAATCGTGATAACATAACTAGCTTCTGATAAATATTGCAGGGAAAATTGTGAAATTCATGCATTTTTTTTGTAATTTAGAGCCACAATCGATACAGCAAAGAAAAAATCTATTTTTAAAAGACAGAAAATTAAGCACTTTTTACAAACTCTAAATAAAAAAGCACCTGTAAAGGCCTTTAAAAAACGTAAATCAAAAATAAGCACCTTTAAGAACTTTTTAAAAAAGCTACGCCCCCTGTGTAATAAATTAGAAATGGAAATGGGGAACAGGATAAAAATCCTGACTTAGATGATACAACCATTAGAACCTAAAAAAATTTCATGGCGCAATATACTGAAAGAAAATTAAACATCATTTTTTAAAAATAAACCATTTTGGAAACCTTTTATTACAATTATTCTCTTCATAAATATCAAAATATTATTTTGAAAAGAATTTAATAAAATTTATTTCATGAACTTTCGAAAGCTTTTGAATAATAAAAATAGTAATTAAAAAAGGGCTTGCTTATTATTCGCTTTATTAAAAGCATCAATTGAATTATTTGTGGAATCAACAAAATATGCTATCAGAAGTAACTGATCTCCAGTACTATTATTATTAAACAAAATTACGATAAAACGATACATCTAAATATATTCACAGATATTAAAAACAATTTAATACAAAAATTAAAATAGAAATTTCTTTTGATGCTGAATTGACTAGAATCTTTTCACTCAAAAGATATACATTCTTAAATCTTCTTCAATTCTAATTTATAACTTAAATTGTATCATAAACACATAAACATGTACTAAAAAAACAATAGAGAATCTAAATTTATACAAAATATTCCTGTAAAACAAAGTCATCATTAATTTAAACACATAATTATTGATTTGAAAATAATAGAATTAAAGCAAACAATTGTTTCAACTCAAAACATAACAGTCTTTGATTTTGAAAAAAACAACTCTCTAGTCAGTTATACACATTAAATAATAAATAAACATCACAATTTAAAACGCATGCATAAATTAATCGACGACACTAACTTGAGCATCATCACAACTATATCACACCATTCATATATTATAAAGATATTTCATGAATACGTAAATTTACATCAACACTTGGATAACATTTATCGATATCGTTGCTCATACCTCGAAACAGAAAACATCTAATAAATGTACTCTACAATTTCATGCGGAGTAACAAATGTAAATGTTTTTAGGTACCTTTCCTAAAAACAAATTCAAAGTTGAATGGTGTCATTTGCCTATAAAAGCCTATAAACTAATTCTATTCTTCTAGAATGAGTCAATCAAAATTAAAATCTAATAAAAAGGAACGTGAATTCTTGATTAAAATTCACAAATAAGAATAAATGACGCATGTGCACTGATATTACAACTACTTTACTCTAGCAAAAACACTATTAAATCTTAATAAAAAAGATCCATATCGAAGTCTAGTGTAAATAAATTTTAAAAAATTAAACACACAAAGAATATGATACGTGAAATTTTTCAGAGATGACAACCTTCCACCAACTGTTTGTATGAAATTATTTTAATAAATGTTGGTTAGTATAATTATCTCCACATAGTACTAAAAAAGTATGGGCAATGACTCATTTCATAGATTTATATAAATAATCCCACCTATGGCATCATAATTATGATACCATAAACTTAAGCTAGAGTGGTATCATTATTAACTTTTGAAAAAAAAATTTAAACGCAATTTCGACGAAAATACAATTTAATCTGTTTTAATTTATCTGTCAATTTTTACTTATTTTTTCTTAGAGAAACCATAAAAGAGCCTAAGTAGTCACAGATATTGAATGAATATCTGAAAAAAGCTTAAAAGGTATTCTGCTATCAACACGAATTGCTTAAAATCACATTTATGACTGTACGTTAATGTTTTGTAGATTCCTGTTACAAAAACTTAAAACGGTTTCTGCAGCAATGACAACTTTCTAGACACCGATCCACTATTTGTATATGGCCATTTTAAACATATAGTTAGTATAAATTATTCCCACATAATACTGCAAAAAGTTCAACATGACTCATTTCATATGCTTTGATAAAAGCCCCAACAATGGCATCATAATTATTTTACCATAAACGTCTTCAAACGTAGCATCATTATTATTTTTTGAAATTAGTTCTAAATTCAATTACAACTTAAAAGGTTATAAATTATCTGTTTAAATTTATCAGTCAAAAAGAAAAAACAGGAAACCATCAAAGTCCAAGTAATCAAAGACCTGACAAAGACCTAAATTATCTGACATACATTTACAGATAGTTAGCTGTCAGCAGAAAATAAGTTGAAATCAAATTTATGAATGTTGATGCATTGTGGGTTCTTAGCAGAACGAAAAACAATTTCAGCCGTGACATTTAAGTACACCCCTCTCTAATTTCTCAAAGAACTCATCACTTCTGAAGGTACTTAAGAGCACTTTATAAAACAGAAGGAGACGATGAGGAGGAAATATTTTGCTCAAAGAATACTTCAAATAGTCTTTCAAGCAAAAGATAGTAATCAAGAATTTCCAGCAAAATGCTTATAATTAAGAGACTTGAGGACTTCTATCCACAGTAGGGGGATGCCGTTGATGCTTGCTACCACCTCTTCGTCTGTTTCTATTGGCAGACACAGAATTAGAGCCACTATTTCTGTTAGAAGAGGGGGAGGCAGAATCGTCTGGAACAGCTGCTGGTGTAGAAGATTGCACATTGGCAACAGATTGTTCTTGATGCTGTACAGCGGGACGTTGGTGACTTTCATCATGTGGCCTCATAACATAATTTTCAGAATGATATGAACCATCAGAATCATAGTCCATCTCTTGTTCGTATGCTAACATAACTGCTGGAAGCTCATATCGGTGGAAAAAGTAAATCATGGAATGCTGTAAAATAAAATTAGTTTGGATTTCTTTTTTTAATTATTAATGCATAATCGCAGCTACTGAATTACTTAAACAAAAATGTAATAATAACACAATGCTTAGAAATTAAAAAATACTAAAGTCCAAAAACTTTTGAAAAGACACATGAAAAGTAAATTGTTATGAACGATATATATATGCATGTCACATAAATGAACAAGCAAGGTACCACTTGATTAAAAACTTCATTTTCTTCAAAAATTTATAAATAGGAAAAAACAGTCAACATGCTTCAACCACTCTAAAACAGGCTCTCCTTTTCAAAACTTGCCATGGAATGAGAAGAAACACAAGTGATTTGAAATATAAAACATAAAGTTGCCAAAAATAAAGGTAAGAAACACAACTAAAAAAATCATTGTAGCCGAGAGAGAAAAAAAGGATGAAAAACAGAACAAGAAAATCCACAGTGGTAGAGCGAAGCAAACCAGAGTAAAATGCATTTCCACGTGCTGAGGTGGTTAGGAACTGATGTCGTCAACAAGAGATTCGGCATTTATTCCTCTCGGCCACTGTGGTTTTTCTTATTCAATTTTTCATCTTTTTTCTCTCCATGCTACTGCAATTTTTCTAGTTATGTTTCTCACCTTTATTTTTACAGTTTTCATTGACAACTTTAAGTTTTATATTTCAAAACACTTTTGTTTCATTCCATTTACCTTTAGCAAGTCTTGAAAATGGGCATCTGTTTTTGAGTGCTTGAAATATGTTGACTGCTTTTTCCTATTTATAAATTTTTGAAGCAAATGAAGTTTTTAATCAAGTGGTACCTGGCTTGTTTCATTTACGTGACATGCATATATATATTGTTCATAACAATCTACTTTTCATAGGTCTTTTCAAAAGTTTTTGGACCAAGTTTTTCAAACTCAAACCAAGCTTCTTTATTTTTTACCTTGTTTTTAATTAGTAAACAATAAAATAAAAATTTCTATTTAACTTTTTATAATACCAATTAGAATAACTATTTACATGTAATTTATGTCATTTTTAATTGAATCACTTGATCTAGAAAGGTCATACGAAGAGTGAGTTCTTCCAACAATTCAATCAATTATAAATTACAAAACTATTTGCACAGAAATAGGCATAAATTGTGCTTACTAAAATAGCATAAGATTTATTAACTTTACAAAACTTCAATGCCTGGAATAGTAAGTCAATAATAGTTCAAGTTAAAAAATTCTGAATATAGTTTATGGATCATATAAATATTTGAATGTTAAATAAAATATTTTTATATAAAAATTCTAATTTTAAAACAAATTCAGATTTTTTTGCAAATTTTTATTTATATTCATTTGTTTTATTTATATATTTATTTTTAATCATGATTTTTTTTTTCATTTGTCCACACTAGTTTGTACACGTGGACTAAATTTTCAATTTTGAGAATTGCAGGGATGCTACTCGCAAAATATCAAATTGTCTCACCAGAAATTGCATTNTATCCGGAAATCAGAAAACCGGAAAACCAAATAACCGGAACGAAATTCGATACATTTTCCCGCCATTTTTGGAAAAACAAATGTTTTTCTCCTCATAAGATTTCAAGATTTTTCTTTCTTTTTTGAAAGATGCTAACCTTACCATCATTTTGGAAACAATCATTAGTGTATTACTTCATCGTTTTTTCCTCTTTTCAAGATTATTTCCAAATATATTTTTTTAGTTGAATTTGACAATTAAAAAAAACGAAGTTTTGTAGCGATTCAGAAAACCGGAAAAATCAGTTATCCGGAATAGCGATGGTCCCGATCGTTCCAGATAATCGGTTCCATACTGTATATTTATTTTTAATCATGATTTTTTTTTTCATTTGTCCACACTAATTTGTACACGTGGACTAAATTTTCAATTTTGAGAATTGGTAACAATTTCTACCAACATTATATAGTACAGATAGACCCAAGAGAAAAACATAAGCAACAATCTTTCATTACAACACCACTTTTTTTAAATACAAAATAGATTAAATAAACGTAAAACAGCAGAAATCAAAAAATGTATTAGCATTTCAAAAGTAATTAAAGAGTTAAAATTTAAATAATAAAAAAATCATTTAAAACTCACAAATAAGCTGCAAAAATAATCAATTCAGTGGCATAAACAAAAAAGAATCATGATAAAGGTTAAAAAAAAACGACAATAATTACCTGAATAAATAAGCATGATGTTATAAATGCTAAGGAGCTATATTGCCCATTAAATCTGTCATGATAAGCATAAAAGGCATAATGATACAAATAGAAGAACCTGTAAAAGTAAATAAAAACAATTAAATGTAAAATACAAATTAAGATTTTTGTTAATTAGTACTAACTAAATAAGTTTAAAAAATACAAACCTTTACAATGGTAACTTTAATGGTTTGTCTTTTTTAAACAATAATTTTTGAACATCATAAAGTTAAGTTTGGCCATGAAAGTTCAAGCAACGAAAAAAAAACTGAGTTGTTTTGAGGAGATATCAATGAATAAGATACAAAAAGTCCACCTGACCGCAATAGAGGTAAGTGTTTTCGGTGGTGAACTAATTTCAAAAATTTCTTGTGGGATTAATAGTTTAGAAAATAAAGAGCAATGCAGAAAGAAAGTGAGATACCATAATGAAATATTAGAATAAAAATCTCTCTTTCTAGAGTTATCGTTACAAAAAGGATATTCCATAAAAACCACTCCAAATAGACATTTTCAGACACACTGTCAAACATGAAGTTAAAAAAAGCAAACAAAACAGGGGTCACAAATTAATACATTTTTTAAAAAAAAAGGAACAAAACAGAAACGTTATTGAAATTTAACAAAACTCGGCTAAAGAAAACGTAATTAAAAACATTAAAACCTATTTTAGTACAAGAAGAAACAGAAAATAGTTGGAAGGCTAATATTAGAAATGCCAACAAGTTTAACCAGGCAATCAAACTGGGTTTAATACACCCTCATCACAAGAAATTCGAAATATTACGATAGCGTTTTTGCTTTTTTCCCGCTTAGATATTTATTTGTGATCTCTTATGTGTATACTTTTTATATTTTCTTTGTGACAATGATTCTAAAAATATATATTTAGAGTTGTGATTACAGAACACCCTGTATATGAAAAACTAAAAGCTGTAATAAAAAAACTTATTAATATATAAAATTAAATACAACTTCCAACAAAAATAATAATAAAAAAAAAAGTTCTAAGAAATAACTTAAGAAATAAATGGGGTGGGAAATGAGAACACTTTTTATAATCTAGGTAGATATAAATTTGTAAATAAATAAATTAAAAAGACACAATTTTGAAATATTGCAGATTTTTTAGGGTTATTTCATGCATTAAAGGACATGCTGAAAAATCCCATTGATAAGGGATAACGAATTTTATGGAGGAATACATTTTTTAGACATTACATTTTTAATTAAAACAACAAAAATTATAAGTTCAAATAAAAAAAATAAGTATAAAAATTAAGTATAAAATAAACTACGTAAAATCTGCAGTAAATTACTTAGAAATGTAAAATTAAAATATTCAAAACTATGGGACTTAGCAAAATATCTGAAATAAGTACTAATCACTATAAAACTGCGAATATTATCTTCTTTTTTTTATTGCAGCGTAAATAGTTAAGGATATAACAGAGCTGAAGAAGTCACATTCCCCTCTCACTCTGAAAAGTAAGCAATTTTAAAAAATACGATAAAATTTTAAGTGAGATAATGAAATTCAAGATAATCAATCTTAAATTATCACGTTGAAAATAAATTAACTAGACAAGTAAAAAAAATCTAAAGATCACTTCCTACAATAGACAGTAATAAAAAAGAAATGTCGACTGACATCAATTTATAAACCATTTTTCAAAAAAAATTCTCTAACACTTTTAAATTTTAAAAATTAAAAATGAGAAGAAAAACCTTATTTTTATTACCAACAAACATATTGACAGTTGATTAAATTAAAATGAATAGTAAAAAATAAATACATCCCTAAAGCAACAGTTTTATACTATCGAATAATAACAAGGCTTAGCAAAAATCGTCAATACGCATTTAAACGGCAACAACAACAAAAAACGTATCAAAAATTAAATTTAAATCGATACAGTGAGCGAAGTTTCATTGACAATGAATGCGACTTTAGAAAACTTCAACATCGCGAAACTCCAGACAATTGCCATATTTACATACGTCAGTACGCACTCAAATTAATCCGTACACAAAAAGAAAAAAAAAGACCACGAAAAATAACATGTCCCTGATTCAATAAACGAAATATACACTAAAAACATCTCTTTCGAAAAACATTTGAAAAGAGCTACTTAAAATTCACAAATTGTTGCCAGTTTAACAAGATTCTTAACCTTTAAAATACGCGTGCAATGCTATAGTTGTAGAAAAAAGAAAAAAGAAAGAAACGCTATGCTTTGTAAATTCCTCAAAAGTAAAGGAATGAAAAAGAGGAAATAAAAACTTCTTCCAGCAGGACTTATTTTTCTTTGTAAGGCTATGTTTTTAGAGAGAGAAAGAGCTCCGCTTCCATCACCGCTCAGCATTTAAGAGGATTATTGGCCACTCTCAGAAAACTCTAATCGATCCAAAGACTGTAAAAGAAATAAAGAACAGGGGATTAAGGGGACCCAGAGATGGTACGCTGCAAACACACCTAAAAAGACAAGATCTACAACAGGAACAATGCCGCAAGGATTGCGAAAAGGAGGAATTAGACAATGTTTTCTAAAGAATATGAAGGGTTTTTTTCCCCGCTTCATCCTCTCTTTCAAATAGATTAAAATAGTTTTTTACCTCTAAAAAAATCTATGAAGAGATACGAAACGTACAGTTTTATTATGTGGATGATACATTTAAAATCATTAAATAGAATTATTCTTATTGGAAGCAATTAACAGAAATTTTAAAAATCGCAAGTATTTTTAAAATAAATTATTCCTAATTTATTGGATTTAGACACTTATTTATAAAATAAAATTTTCGATTTATTCAAAGCTTTTACATAGGCGTATATCCAGCTGTTTAAATTTTAAACGTAGAGTGTAAATGTTCTAAATAATGCAAATTTAAGAAACTACAACATTTTGGACCATTGTAAATTTTATATAAATATAAAAATTAGACTTCAATAAAGGAATCCAATCTGATTAAAAATGATTCAAAAGGTCATAAATAGCCACTTTCAAAAACCATATGGTCGAGATCAAAGAAGAATAAAAGAATAAAGATGAAACAGAAATAGAACATAACATTAATCGATGGTTAAACAAATAAAGCTTAGCACAGGTGGCGTTAGAGGTTAAAATTCATAATAAGACTTCAGGGTAACTACTTCCGATTTATTTTTAAGACTAAGCTAAAAACATGTCAGCCTGTACTGATACTGTACAAAGACAGAACCGTTTCGGTATCTATAGGTTTTTTCCACTTTTAAGTACAAAACAAACATTTTCATAAATTCCAATTTAAATTTTTTGGGTAAAAAAAAAAAGTTTTGTGTAGGTAGAATAGTGTTAAACATCAAACTATCCTTATAATTTATTCGAATTTACACTCAAAATAACACTCACTGCTTGTGGTGTCATAATAAACATTACATATCTCCCAGCTTCTAAATTTCTTTTATTTCATAAATTTAATAATTCCCAACTCCTCTCTAAATAAATAATCAATTAATTTAATTCAATTTTATAAAAAGTGAATGCAAACATTTCTATTCTCCATGAGTGTAACTTTTTATTTCAACGCGAGTGTATAACTAATTATTACTAATTATTATTCAAAATCTATTTTTAACCTTTCTTTCTTCAGCCACATTAAATAACAACATACATGATTTACTTCAATTTCCAACGAATTTTTTGGTCTTAAATCTTCAGCCAAATTATTTAAATAATAAACATGAGATATCAGGAGCCTTTACTCTTAAAACAGTGTCCTTTTTCGATAACAAGCCTGTAACAGATGTCTCCTGTACTCCAAAAGCGACCTGCCCTTATTTATATTATGCAGAATTTATGATTTTACTTGAAATGCCCCTTGGGTAACAATATTCTTTTTATTTTGCACTTCGAGGTCTACAACGATATAGATTTTTGCCATGTTTATTATAACAAATTCTTTTTATTATTATAGTATATTCTTTTTATTTTGCACTTCGAGGTCTACAACGATGTAGATTTTGTTATGTTTATTACAACAAATTCTTTTTATTAGTATAGTATATTCTTTTTATTTTGCACTTCGAGATCTACAACGATATAGATTTTTGTTATGTTTACTATCCTGTTTTCACTATCTACTTCAGTTAGTCAATCCACGCCAACTGCCATATTTTCCATTATACTGCCGTTGGCAATGATATGCCTCTATCATAAATATTAAAAAAAAGGTTTTAAAAAAACTTCACAACAGAAACACCCATTGAAACAAAATTGGCAATTTTCTAAAAACGGACTAAAAATTCCCAGTTTATATTCTCAGTCATTTAAATGAAAAACGATGAAATTAACTTTTGGAACCTCCGCTGAGAATGCCATCAAGTTGAATTTCAAGCATATGAGTTTCCACGACTCCTTCAAATAGTTCGTCCATTTCGGAACCCAGAGAGTTGGCAAGGAAAGAAAAAAAAATGGCAAAGTTACTGCTCACATTTATCTTTCTCAGGGAATGGGGAAAACAAACAAATGACACGGAAAGAGCCCGCCGATTAATTGCGGCCAGATGAGAAGAGGTGGAGCAAGAGGGGCGCCCAGATCGGTCATCCGAAAGAAGCAGGACATCCACTCAACTTGATTGGGGTCGGCCATTGATTTTGCTACTAGGTCTTAAGAAGGTCACAACGTCAGTCAAAGGGAGAAAGGCATCTTTTCTAAAGAACTCTTTCATTTGTTTTTTGTCGGGGAATCTAGTGAAAGTAATAAATATGTAAATATGCGCAGAACATAGCAGATAATATCGATACTAGCAAACTTTCGTAGTTCTAAGATCCACTCCCATTTGTTGCAAGAAATACATGGGCCATCAATAACAGCTTATACTTCGACAGCAAAACGAACAAAAATATGGTAAAAGTTAAACTTTAGAAATTCTTATAACAAAAAAAATTTTTTTTTTAATCTTTACGAATCCTCCTCAAAATTTCGATACACGAATAGTATCTCTTTCACATTAAAAAAAAAAAATTTTAAACCCTCGGAGAAAAAAAAACTTAAATAATCATATACGAGCACCAGCTTAGCTAGAAATCAGGTA